CCCCCCCCCCAGCCGTGTCCCGCTGAGGCGGGGCCCTCGCCTTGCTCAGTCTACGCCTCAGTACCTGGATATGCTGTTCCACATCTAGCGAGTGGCAGAGCTCACACGCCTGTGAAAGCACGGACAGCGGGCCAGCAGATGGCGCAGCGGTCACATCGCTGGACTCCCACATTGCTCATCTCAGACTGCTCACGGACCTGGTGGCTTCAAAATCACACCGGGCATGTGTGCGTGCATGCCCAAGATCGCAGGAGGAGAATAGAGAAGGGATTGCGGCAGTCATCCCCCCGGGGGCTGATTTCTCACTTTCCCACTCACTGTTGTCTGTCTGTCTCTGACAGCGCATGTGCCTTAAGGCAAGAACCTCTTTTAAAAAAAAGAAAAGAAGAAAGTATTGATATAAGGGCCTAATCTTTGTCTCCTGCAAAGGCTTTCTTCCCACTCTGGATTTCCATTCGTTGTGGATCCAGGTCTAAAAGTCAAAGCACACAGTGCCTGGCCCCGCCGCCGTTTTCTGGGCAGACGTTCTAGCACGCTGTCTTTCTTGTTTATAGCTGGGCACCACCCAGACCAGGGGAGAGGAGTATATTCGGGCGGGCAGAGGAGAGCGGGCCATAGAAATCCAGTGACTTTTCAGAGTATTCCAGACGGGAAGTTGGAGGAGGCTCTGTGAGCCCACCACTTCTCCCTGCCCTGAAAGTCCACTGCGGAGCTGACAGACGCGAACTGCAGAGACCCTGGAGAGCAGAGAGCAGATACGGGGAAGGGATGAACGTGCACGAATGTGTCCCTCCTTGGACCATCCTAACTAATTCCTGTAGTCACACACACACACTCACACATACACACACACATAAGCACGCATGCGCACGCACACATGCACATCAGTATTACATATATACTCTGTGTCTGTGGATTCTACATCCACAGATTCAATTAAGGGCAGGTCAGAAATACTTGAAAAAATATATAGTATAACAACTATTACGTGCATTGCATTAGGGATTAAATAACCTAGAGGAGATTTAAACGGAGGATGTGCTAAATTCTATGACATACTACTTCCCAAGGAACTTGAGCTGTCCAACTTGATTTGGATAGTTGTGGGGAGTCCTGGAACCAATTCCCCGAGGATACCAAGGGATGACAGTACACAAAAGTATTATACACACACACACACACACATATACACAGACACATACATACAGACACACACACACACGTGCATGCACACATGTGCGTGCACACATACACAATCGGCTGCATATTTGTGTTCCCCTAAATCTGTGTTGAAATCTTAACCCCCATGGTGGGATGGCATTAGGAGGGGAGACCTCTGGGTAGAACCCATCATGAGATTAGTACTCTTTTTTTTTTTTTTGAAGAGGTTTTTGCTATAGGGTATGTGCGCTTGCCAGAAAGACAGAGAGAGACATCTGTCGACAGAAAGTGAGAAATCACCCCCAGGGGGGATGGTCAGGCCATAATCCCTTCTCCTCCATTCTCCTCTCGGGATCTTGGGCACGCACTTGCCCGCGCCCAGTGTGAGTTTAAGCTACCGGGTCCGGAACTCGAACCGTGGTCAACTACAAGGGAGTCCAGTGACACAGCCATTATGCCAACTGCTGGTCCCAGAGATTAGTACTCTTACAGAACAGGGCTGAGAGAACTCCCTGCCCCTCTAGAGTGAGAAGACGGCATCTACGATCCGGGAAGTGGATCCTGAGCAGAACCAAACCTGCTGGTGCCTTGACCTTGGACTTCCCAGCCTCCAGAACTGTAATATATTTTTTTAATGCCAGAGGGTGGGGCATGTGAGAGAGAGAGCGAGAGCAAGAGCGAGAGAGCGAGCTAGAGTGAGCGAGCGAGAGAGCACTTCCAGTGGGGCACACTGCAGTCCTCTTTCCACCATCCCACTGGGATTGGGAACGCATGGACACATGTCTGGCATGTTTTTCAAACCACCAGGGAAGGGACTGAAACCATGGTGACCGTTTGGGATCTGGATCTCACTTAAGCACTGCACTGTGGGGCTGGCCCAAATTCCTCTTGTTTATGGGCCAACCACTTGATGGCATTTTATTAAAGCAGCCTGAACAGACTGACAATACACATGTGTAATATTATTATATGAAGTTCATGGAAAATATATGTTATAAAGAAACGATGCATGGATTTAATTTTTTTTCACATAAAAATAAACTTGCACTTAAAATTTTTCCCCCCATAGGGTTCAGGCACTCACAAAAAGAGAGAGAGAGAACACCTCCCAGTGGGGTGTGGTCATGCCACAATTCTTTTTCCTTCATTTCCCTCCTTTCTGTTGGGATTTTGGGTATATGTGCACATATACCTGGCCTGTTTCTCTAGCTGCTTGGGCTGGGATTTGAACCATGGCTGGCCATGTGGGCTCCATCTCCTTTAGCCACTGTGTTAAAGGCTAACCCATAAACTTGTACTTTTTGTTTTTGCTCCAGGCGTGTGTACTCATTGCAGGAAGAAATCACCCCCTGGAGAGGATGGCCACGCCATAGTCCCTCCTCCGGTCTCCTCTCAGGATTCTGGCACAGGTGCCCAGCACGTTTTCAAGCTGCTGGATCCAGGACTCTTAACTGCTCAGCTGGCTCCTTGGGATCCAGTGCTTTCACCTCCATACCACCTGCTGGCCCTAACCTGTACTTGAATTCCATTTTTCCATGAACTTCTGTGTGTCAGCCTACTCCCACTGTAACATGAACCCCAGGAGGGCAGCTGGTGGCTGACACGCTGTGGCTGGGAGAGATGTCTCTGAAATGATGGCAGGTGAGAAGGAGAACGAGATGCACACTCAACGGTTGAGCAGGAAGGCCAAGTGTGTGCTGGAGCTGAGTGAACAAGGGCGAAGGGGATGGAGTCACACCTGAAAGGCACGTGTATATGGAAGGGCAGTGGAAGGTGGGGGTGCAGGCAACGGGGGACCCCGTGTGCCAAAACCATCGGCTGTTCTGAGTGAAACAGGCAGGTTTTCAGCAGAGGAGCGGTACAACCGCTGTCTGTCGGTGACAGACTCTAGGCAGCAGGGAGGGCTGCTAAGCAGGGGCTGTTACAGTAATCTAGGTGAGAAAGAGCTGCGGCATGCACCAGGTGGCACCCTGTAAATGATAAAGGACCCCCGCAATTGTCAGCTCATTTGACCCGTAAGACGGTCCTTGAAGGAGGAACCACCATCTTTAGTTTACAGAGGAGGGAGTTTAGGCCCAGAGAGGTGGAGTAACTTGCCCAAGAGCACATAGCGAGGAAGGAGGCACGTTAGTGACCCGCCTGTCTTCTCCCATTTCTGCAGACGGCTTGGCCCAGGGTTCTTCCCACCACCCGTCACGGACAGCTGGCAGCTGCTCTTCGCAAGGCCGACTGTCTCGTGTCTGAGAATGACTAAGGCTGGTGACACCCACAGGTCGGACCAACCAGCTGTGCCTGACCATGGTGGGTTAGGAGGGGAAGGACCTGGCAGCCACGTCCGTGAGACAGTTCAGGGCGACCACAGAGCACCCCCACCCCACAGCCTTGGCAGGTTCTTCAGAGCCCAGAGATGGAGCACGTGACCCGGCAGGCACTCCCAGTGTGTTCCCAAGAAGCAGTACGCACCCCTGCCAGCAATGGGGGCAGACCACGGTCACCGCAGCTCCCTCATACCTGGGGAGTGGCTGAGTTTCCAAAAGGAGTCCGCATCCCTTCTCCCCTTGGGTCCTTTTAACATTCCTGTGGAAAGACAGGCTTGGTGTCACCATCTCCACTTTGCACATGCAGCAGACCTGCGAGGTGACAAGGCTAGTCCAGGTCCCGGGTCGGGGGCTGAGGCTGGGGCCCACTCTCCCCCCACCTCCCGCGGGAGCGCGTCACGCCCTGCTCTGCTGCCTTGTTGGGCCGAGGGCTCTCCAGGTCGCTTCTTTCCAGGGCCGGAGTAGCTAGGTGGCGTCTCATTCTCCCATGGCTCACATACTGGGGCTCGGCGAGGCCAGAGAGCGGCTGTGCAGGCGGCTTCTCCGGGCCCCCACCGCTGCTGCCAGGCCACCCTCCTGCGAGGGCTCGTGTTCCTCAGAGGCTGCACGCGCACCCAACCCTCTGCGCGTCCTCTCACCGCTAGCTATGGTTTCACTGTTCCGACCCTGTGTGGGACGAAGACTTCGGTACTTACCTGTCTTCTGTACCCGCCCCCCATTCCTGCCTAATCCTCAGAACAATCCACTGGGGACTACCATGCCGCCAGCGGCTGTCCCCTCCTCTCTACTTCAAACACCCGCCACCAAGGCCACTGTCTGGTTCCTGCCAAAACTTGGAACAAATTCACTTGAAAACCAAACATCCCGTTCTCTGCCCCCAACCTCTCATCTCTGCAGTGCCCTTGGGACACACATCCGGCATGACCGTCGCAAGTTCTTCGGCCAGTCAGAACTTCCAGCGTCCCGTCCTTCAGCCTTGCTCCTCCCTGCCCAGCCGGTGCACGTGGTGGGTGACCTAACTGCTCTCCCTCCAGTGCTGGCTTCTTGACAGAACCTCCTCTCCTCCCCCCTACTAGTTCGGCGTCAAAGCTCACTTTTCCCCGTTAGAGCAAGCTCCCCATACCTAGGCTGTGAAGAACCTCAGAGAACAAGCACAGTTCTTGCAGGCTGGCCTCCAAGCTTGGCCGGGCCCCTGAACATTTCCTGCAAACCAGTCCCTTCTCCTCGATCCATTTGCTCAAAATCGCCATCTAGGGGCCAGAGCAACCTTTTGGCCCTCCTAAGCCATTCCCTAGCGAGCCCTCTCTGTAGCTGATGACGGACACAACCGATGGCCCACCCACCTCAGAGGTGTCCCTCCTGCCGTAAGGCTGATGTGTCTCTCTGCCCCTCATCCCAATGCGTTCACACCAGCCCCAAGCCGTTACTTTTTCCTCTTTCCTACATTTTCAGTTTCTTCTTGGAAGGTTCAAGTTGTCTGCTGATACACATGCCCAAAGTACTGCTTATCTAAAAGGCCTTTAAAAAATTTTGGTTTTTTTAACTTGCTATAGGACACATGCAGTTGCTAGACATGGAGAGAGAGAGGAAGTGAGAAAGCACGCCCCAGGGGGAATGGCTATGCCGCAATCCCTTCTCCAGTCTCCTCCTGGAATTTTGGGCAGACAGGCACACATGCCCAGCAAACCGCCAGGTCCGGGATTTGAACAGTGTAGTCAGCCATGTGGGAGCCAGCTGGCCCTGAAAGGCTCTCTTTTGACTTCCCATATTTCTTTTTTCTTATCAAATTCCCCCTGATATTCCCACTCACTGCAATCTGCCCTCAACACCCTCCACCTCCGCTGAGGCTGCGCCTGCTAAGACGACCAGTTACGCTCTATTTACCAAGCCCGCTAGCCATTTCTGTCTCCACTGCACCAGACTGTGCTGTGCTTCGTGCTCCTTAAACAGCCTGCACCCCGGCCCCCACAATACCAAGCTGCTCCGTGTTTCCTACTCAGAATGTTCCGTTGTCTCCTTGGTGGGTTCCTCTTCTTGATCCCACCTCTTAAACTTCCTTGGTCCCCAAGACTCCAACTTTGGTCAACTGTTTTCTTCATTCCACACGTTTCTGGAAGTGTCATTTACCCAAAGCTTCAATCGCCATCTCCATGCTGGTGCTGCCCCGGGACTCCGACCTGTGTGGCACTGCCGGCTGGTGTCACCTCGCCGGCCCCCGGCTCCCTCCCTGCCTTCCCCTCACGGTTGGGCCCTCTCAGTGAATGGCACCACTGTCTGTCCCAGGACTGGGAGACGGTCCCTACTCCCCTCTTTCTCACAATCCTCAACTCTGACTGCATTATCCTGCAAATAGTTTCTAGATCATTCTCACGTCTCCAGCCCCCCCCATTCGCTGCCCTCGTCCAAGCTATTCTCACTGGTCTGGCTCTCGCTAATGGAATCTCTCCTTTCCCTCCTCAAATCCAAGCTCATCAAAGTAGTTAACGGTCTCTTCAGTGTGAAACCCATGCACGTCTGGCCTCTAACTAAATGCCTTTGGTATTCACGCTGCCCATGAGACTAACCGCAAACTCTTCGGCATGGTGTTGGAGACCTCCTGACCTCGCCGGGCGTTTCTCTGTGCAGCCCCAGTACCGTACTTGGTGTTTTGGCAACACCAGATGGCATGCGGTTCTCGTACCACTGGAACCATGGCTGTCTTGGATTCCCCTGCCCTGGTTGGTTCTGCCCTCTCTGCTTGGAAAGCGCTCCCCTCCTACTAGCCCCGACAGGCCATTCGGGGTCTCAGACAAGGTGCCACTCTGAAGGAAGCTTCCTTGAGTACCCCGCTTGGACTAGGTGTCCCTTCTACTCACAGCATGTCTGTCACTGTGCTCAAGTCACTGTTTTACAGTTTTCTGTGTAAGTGTTTGAGTTCCCAGCAAGACTTAGGGACAAAAAGCGATTGACGCTTTTACATGGCCATGCCAGACGTGGGTGGTGTTCCAGTACACAGCAAACAGACGAGCGAGTCCTGCCCTGTCCCGTTGGTTCTAGGTCTTCGCCTCTTAGTTTCTGTTACTCCCGAGCCAATCCCAGAGCTCTGATATATGGCTGGTGCGTGACTAGGCCTACCAGGAAGCCCAGGCCCTGGTCTCGCCACCTGGTCTGTTGCAGTGGCCCACAGAGTCGGGTCCTCTCTGGCTTCCCAGAACTCAGGAAGGAAGGCAAAAGTGAGGGAGGCAGGAGGGCCAGGATTCGGGAAAGCTTACCCTTGGAGCACAGCCTGCGAACAGCAGAGGCTGTGCTCGGTGGGAGGCCACAGGGTGGAAGTAAGGGCCGGTACCCGGGTGCACGAAGAGTTTGGGAGGTGCTGACGAGGCTGGTGGGATTCAAGGTGGAGTCCATTGAGTCTGAGTGTGGCTCCAAGGACCGGGCCACACTACTCCCCAGAATAAAGGTTTGACCTGGAAAACAGTAAAAGCCAGGTCAGAGCAGGGACCGACTTTGAAGGCCTCCCTGGGTCTGCCTCCCAGACCTGTCTCAGTAGAACAAAAGGCAGCAAGACAGCCCTGGGCCGGGACTCAGGAGCCCGTGCACCTGCCGGCTCTGACTCTCACCGGGTGACCTTGGACAAGCTCAGTGCCACCTTCCGGACTCTGGTCTCTTCGGAGACTTGTCCTCTTAGATTAGGTCTAAACAGGAAGAACCTTCACAAAAAGGAAGTTTTCTGGGATGGAAGAGACTGACTTAGACACAAGATGCCAGAGCAGGGAACAGAGTCATCTCCCCGAAGCTGGAGAAGAAAGCCACATGTTCAGATGAAGAGACTCTGAAACTGACCCTCTGCTCAACCAGCAGGACGGGTCAGAAATGCTGACCTTGAAGGCTAGAGTTCTCTGGGGCTGGCTCTGTGGGGCAGCAGTCCCGCACTGCTAGACACAAGCCGGACTCCACAGGACAACCACGGTTCAAGTACCCGGCAAGGTCAGCCTGAAACACAGCAGGCGGACTCGGAGTGTCCAGGATCTGACGGGCTGGAGGACCGGAGGTAGGGACTGTGGGTGTGCAGACCCCGTGGGGGGTGCGCCTCTCACACTTGCACTCTTACCTTCGCACTCTCACTTTTGCGTGTGTTTGCACGTGCTCTATTATGAGTAAAGAAAAATTACCAACCAAATCAAACAATCGAGTTCCAGGCGGAGGACGACCACAGTGGTGGTGCATAACGGAGAAGGTCCGGGGAGGTGGAGTCTGGAGACCAGGGAGACAAACGCCCTTAGGGCAGTCACGGGACTGAAAGAGGGTTGGAGGTCGATCTGATCTTTTGGAACACACAAGGTAAAACGGGGCAGGAATAATAAGGCAGATTTCAACTCAAAAAGGAGGAGGTGTGAGCAATCAGAACTGTCCGACAATCAAACTGAATGCCAGAGGTGAGAGGGGGCCCCATCAGGGAAGGACAGAGGGACAGGGGTCTCTCTCAGATAAGACGGGGAGGGCTCCTGACGCCTGGCTGCCGGAGCGCCGGAGAAGCGGAGGAGCGTGATTGGCGAGCTGCGGCCATCACGCACACGGGCGCCACCTTGGCGCTGACTGGTCTGCGGGAGTCCTGTGTGGAGGAGAGGGGCACCCCAGAGACTTTGCAGTTCTTATTGGCTGCAACCACGTGAGCTTCGGGATGTGGGCGGAGGACCGTTTTATTTCATCGACTTTTTGTAAAGGCGGGCTTGCTTAGTCAGGAGGCTGCTGCCTCACCTCCAAGCAGCTGGGACCTCGGACATGGGTCGCCTCATCTGGCCTTCAGCCAGGGTCCCACCATGCTGTCTAGGCTGGCCTTGGGCTCAGTGTCCTCCTCCCAGGTCCCCAGGATGACACACATGTGTCACTGTGCCTGGCTTTTAAGGTGGGCTGGGCTGAAAGTTGACCCCAGGCCTTCTGTGTGGCCTTCTGAAGAGCAGCAGCACCAGGGCAGCACGGGCCGCTGTGGCGAACGAGGAGGCATTTCCTATCTACCTGGGAGAACCAGAAAACCAGCAAGCAGAAAGAAAGGCGTAAGGAGCACCGCGGGTAAACGAGCCACACCTGAGCAGAAAGGAACCTAGGAAATTCCTAACAGCAGCCTGACAGGGTAATGCTGGGTGGCTTTCTCTTCTTTTCTTTGGTGAGGATTTTGCTATAGGGTGCGTGCGCTAGCTAGAAAGAGAGAGACAGAGAGATTGAGAGACAGAAAGCGAGAAATTACCCCCAGGGGGAATGGCACACTGCAATCCCTTCTCCATCCTCCTCTCGGGATCTTGGGCATGCACGCACACACGCCTGGCATGAGTTTAAGCCACCGGGTCTGGGATTCAAACTGCAGTCGACTACATGGGAGTCCAGTGACACAGCCATTACGCCACCTGCTGGTCCCCTGGGTGGGTTTCAATTACAGTTAGAATTAACAACCAGTGTGACCAGTTAAGTGAATATGCCCTCCTGCCTAATACTGTCTTTCAGGGGCCAAGGGCCCTCTCGTTTGGCCATCACAAGCCTCTTACTTGACCCAGCCACGTGGGTAGCTCTGAAGGACTGCCTCCCGTGAGTCCTGCTGCCCCTGCCTTTCACCTCGCTCCTTGCTCGTCATCCCTGCTTGGGCCAGGGTGGCCCTGCTCTATGCATGGACCGCCTACATATCCCTGTCACTCTCCTCTTGCTGCATCTCTGTCTCCCCAGAATGCACTGTGGATTCCACAGAGTATTTAGTGCGTGTCTCATGACCCAAACCAAAGCGGCTGGCATGGAGTCTTCCAAATGCCAATGTCATGTCCTGGAATACAGGGAAAAAGGCTGGAGACCTGTTCTATAGAAAAGAAACTGAAGAGGCAGTACAAGAAAATGCACTGGACCACCTTTACTGGATCCTGGATTAGGAAGAGAAAAACCAGCGATAGAGAACGTTAGGCAGACAACTGAGGGGGACCCTCATGGGCTGTATATCAGCTAGACGACTTGCTTAACGTTAAGTTTCATGAGCACAATGACAGCACTGCACGCCTTATTCTTAGGATGTACACAAGAGACCAAGTCTCTCATCTGCCGTTAACTCTCAAATCATTCAGTAAATGAAAGGCGTGTTTAAAAAATAGTAGGTCAGTAGGAAAGCCATGGTGCATTTTTGTATAGAACACAGAAGACTCGTCATGACTTTTCCGATGACCCGTTGTGCAGATACAGAAGTGTGTGCTATTTAGAGGAAGAGAGACAGCAGGTGTTGCAGAAAAGTGACGTGGTAAATCCAGGTGGAGAACACATGCTTGCTCACTATACTGTTTTTGCAAGTTTTCTGGAGGTTTAAAACATTTTCAGAATAAAACATTGGAGAAAAAAAGCAAGTCTCCACTTCAGTAAGGAAGCTGAGTGGGTGACGACATCTGTCTGAGGGCTTGTGACCCGCTCCTGTCCCAGCAGCGCAGGATCAGTTAAGCCAAGGCACGAGTGGGAGGGGAGCGTGCAGACAAGGCTGCAGGGAAGGAGAGTGCCGGTGAGCACCCAGGCCGCAGCGCTGGCACTGCTGGATGCCAGCCTAGAGCAGGGTGTGGCTAGGCCGGAGGGCAGGCCTCATGCACGCTCCACCCAAGGACAACGCGAAAAGCTCCTACACGGACTGGGCTCTTTGGTGCAGGGTTGGGTATGAAATCAGAAAAAGGCAGGACATGAGAAGTGATCAGGGGTGGGGCAAAGGGTAAGCAAGGCCGGCAGGGAGGCAGGCAGGAAGGCAGGTAGGTAGGTGGGCAGGCAGGGAGGTAGGTGGGCAGGCAGGCAGGAAGGCAGGTAGATAGGTGGGTGGGCAGGCAAGTAGGTAGGTGAGAGGCAGGGAGGTAGGTGGGCAGGCAGGGAGGTAGGTGGGCAGGCAGGGAGG